TTGAATCCCCCTCATAACACACATTTATGCACACATACATGTAACATGGAAAGTATTTTGTATTGGCCGCAAGTTTTTAATCAGGGTTATTGGTGATTGTGTGCCGGGAGTCAATTCTGGCTCATAGCGACCCTATTTAAGGTTTCCGAGGCTGTCAATCTTTACAGGAGCAGAAAGCCTCCTCTTTCTCCTGGGGAGCAGCTGGCAGACTTGAACTACTGACCTTGTGGTTAGCAGCCCAACTCATAGCCTACTATGCTACCAGAGCTCCTTACTAGGAAATCATTTTTTTTCTAATAATCGAAGTTACATTGGTCAAAGATTCTATAGCAGAATGCTGATCAAAAGAGAAGGATGCATGTGGAACTTACTTACAAATTCTTCTGGAATCCAGAATTTCTGGAGCTTTTGAGGTAGGATGAACCCCCCAAAACTATCATCCTGAGGTCTTTCTTAAACATTACAACTTGAACCAAAAATATTCCCTGAAGTTGTCCTTAAACCAAAACAGTGGTTGTGTTCAGTTGGTAACAACTGCAGACCTTGGGCGTTGGGTTCTTTTAAGATCTGTCCATGTGGGAACAAGTTGAGTACAGCAACTCCAAAGGTTAGGTGGGAACCTTCAGGGATGGTGAGTTTGTATTGTGGATAGAGTCAAAGTTTACAGCACAGATCATCAGTTTTACATTCAACAAATCACACACCTTGTTTCATTCCAATGATTATAATCCCCTCCATGTATCATTACCATCAGTTAACAGTATTTCTCTCCATTCATTTTAGCTTTTTTTTTTAAAAAAACACTCAGGCATATATAATAATTTACACCTCCAAAGGGCACATTTTGCAAGTCGGCCTCCTTTGTCCCTCTCTTCCCATGAGTCTAGAGTCCTCAGCTGCCTCTCTCTCTCCATCTCATCTCTGCCTCCATCTCTGGTGTCACTGCTTCTTTGGATAGGGTCCCACATTCTGCTCATGCTCTTCTCCCTTGATGGTCCCAGGGTCCTCTGTTTCTGGACTGTAACATTAACTACTCCCCTGCTTTTGTTACAGAACTTCTACCTTTACAATTGTGACAGTGGCAATTAGTCATGATAACAATTACTCACTATTGAATCATAAGAATCTTGTGGTGAGTTTATATTAATGAGGAAGGAACAACTTGGGAAAGGAGAATGGTCACACAATGCAAAGAATGTCATCATTGTTAAATGCCGTCAAGTTGGTTGATGTTTTTGTTGTTAAGTGCCGTGGAGTCGGTTCTGACCCATAGCGACCCTGTACAGGGTTTCTGAGGCTGTAAATCTTTACAGGAACAGAAAGCCTCATCTTTTCTCCCGC